ACAAAAAAACTGGGGTTCGGCAGCGGCAAACCCGAGGATTTGTGTCACGGCACCCCTCGTTTTGGAGGGACCCAGCGGCGCCGTGACAAAACAGCTCGAGCTCGGCAGCGCCAAACCCTAGCAATTTTGTCACGCCCCCCCCCCCGCGCCTTGGAGGACCCTGCGGCGCCGCGACAAAACAACTGGGGCTCGGCATTGCCAAATCCTACGATTTTTGTCACGGCGCCCCCCCGCACCTTGGAGGACCCCGCGGCGCCGTGACAACAAAACTAGGGTTCGACAGCGCCAACCCCCAGGATTTTTGTCACGGCCCCCCATGCCTTGGAGAGCCCCCGCGGCGCCGTGACAAAAAAAGCTGGGGGCTCCAGCCCCCGGTGGCCCCCCCCCATGTCTTGGAGAGGCCCCGCGGCGCCGTGACAAAAAAACTGGGGCTCGGCAGCGCCCCCCCCCTGTATTTTCGTCACGCCCCCCCCCGTGTCGTGGAGGGGCTCCGCGGCGCCGTGACAAAAAAAGCTGGGGCTTTGCAGCGCCAAACACCCCACGGTTTCTGCCACGGCACCACTCCATGCCTTGGAGGGCCCCCGCGGCGCCGTGACCAAAAGAAACACTAGTGTTCGGCAACGCCGAACCCTAGTTTTTTTGTCACAGCCCCCCGTCAGAATGGAGGAAGCTGTAAGCTGCCTTGGCCTGCCTCCGAAGAGGAGGAGGAGGAGGAGGAGGAGGAGGAGGAGGAGGAGGGGGAGGAGGAGGAGGAGGAGAAGGAGGAGGAGGAGGAGGCGGCGGAGGACGAGAGGAAGGCGGAGCTCCCCTCCGACGTCGCGGTACTTTCGTGACGCGCGCCCAAAGGAATCTCGACCCCTTTCCCGGGGCTGTCTTGTCACCCGGAACCAGCGCCCCTCAAACGGGGACTCCACTAACGGGTACTTTGGCCAGTGACCCAGCGAACCCAACCCTTCCCGATGCGGGCAGCGCTGCATTGCCAGAAAGAGGCCCTAAAGTGGCAACTTTCGGCACAATTGCAAAGTACCCGTTAGTGAGTACCCGCTGCGGTGCCGTTGACGGAAGTGTTCTTTGACGCTCCCGGAGCTGGAGGACGGCCTGCGGAGGCCGCGCGCGGCCACAGCACCGGCCGCCGCGAGTTCTCTCTGCGGCCGGCGCCCAGATCCGAAGAGGAGGCCTCCCCGTGCTGTCGTTCCCCTCTTCTGAAAGGGGCCCTGGGACACACAGATAAACAGACATACGTAACAGGATTCCCCAATAGTTTCCCATATTTCCTGGGCTTTTGTCTCCCCCCCTTCCCATATTTCTTGCCTTACGTTCTGGGGAACCGACAATTACTTGTGTCTGTGTGTTGTTTTTGTCTTCCCCCCCACTGCCCATATATATTTTGCCCCATGTTCTGGGGAGCCGACAATTCATTGCGTGTGTGTGTGTGTGTCGTTTTCCCTCCTGATCTTCTTCTCCCTCTCACGCTGCGGCTAGTTCTGTTCTGGGGAACCGACAATTCCTTGTGTCTGTGTGTCGTTTTCCCTCCTGCTCTTCTTCTCCCTCTCACGCTGCGGCTACTTCGCCTACCAGCTCCCCTGGACGGCCGGCCAAAGAGGAGCCCGGCGAGGCCGCCGCGTCCAGACCTGCACCCGCCCGCCGCGCCAGCACAACGGAGCACTCTGCAATATTTGGTGAGAGATAATGATTATACGTTTTCTGCACTCAATTCGAGCTGTAGCCTGCTCCTTCTCCTCCTCCTCCCCTTCTTTCTTCCTTCTCCTCCTCCTCCTTCTCCTCCTCCTACCCCTCCTCGTTCTTCTTCTCCTCCTCCTCCTCCTCCTCCTCCTCCTCCTCCTCCTCGTTCGCCTTCTCCTTCTCCTCCTCCGCCTCCTCGTTCTCCGTCTCCTCCTGTGAGGGCGCTGGCCAATGAACCGTTGGGTCTGGAAGCCGCTGGAACGCCAGCCGTGGGCCGGCCATGGACGTCACCGCCGCCCTCCTCGGCGAAGGGACCCTCCGGGGTCTGAGGCCTCCAGGGCACGCTCCCTGACGAGCACCCCAGCCGAACGGGGGGGGACTGACTGGACCAGGGGCGGACGCGCCGAGCTCTGGCATCGGCGATGCCTCGCCGATATATACCGGCGAGGCGCACCCGAGGGCGACACCGCGCGCTCCTGGGCCGGGTGGGCTACCGGGCCCCACGATCAGCGAGGAGTGGAGTGGGCGATTGGGGGTCGATGCGTTCGCAGCATTCGGTGATCTTCTGACCCGGGTCAATCCAGACCCGGTTCAGCAGGAAACTAAACACTGCAATGCAGGAAAAAAAACTGCAACGCAGGTCTTCGCAAACCCGGGTCAGCCAATAGGCGCGGCAGCCTCGCGGCCACGAGCAGCTCGCTAACCCGGGTCAGCCAGAGGGGGTCTTCGCAGGATCCTGCAAGATCTGGTGCTCTGGCTGACCCCCTGTTTGCATTGACCCCCGTCTCAAGACTCCCGAAGCATGCCCCGTCCCTGGCCCTCCGGCACGTAGGTCGCGGGCACCGACCCGATGCAGGCGTCCGGGCTTTCCCGCAGCGCCTCGCCCACGCGCGCGCTCGCGCGCGCCGCTCGCGAGGGGCTGCGGGCCCGAGGGTGAAGGCGCGCGGGAGCGCGAGGAGGCGCCGCGGCGAGCGGCCGGAGGGCCTCCTCTGCCACGCCTAAGCGCCGACCCACACCTCCGACGATGTGTTTTTGTAGCCACCTCACTCTGAGTTCGTTTCGGCCAACCGAGGGCCGTCAGCGGGCCCCGGGACAATCAGACGTGGACATAGATCGGGGACGAGATGCCTCCCCCAGGGAAGGGGTTGGAAGCTCTGGGGCCGCGAATCGAAAACAACAGATCGGAGGATATCTGTGTCCTTGACAGAGCATCAGAAGTGTCGTCAGATCTTCGTGCACCCTGTGGCACCGCCATCCCTGGCGTTGGCCCGACTCCGAGGACGACGACGACGACGATGACGACGACACGAGCGCAGAGGGGAGAGCGAACGACGACGCGACAGGGGAGGGAGCACCTGGGCAGTCCTCCTCCTTGACGCCTACACGCTGACGGCAGTCTCGCTCTGCGCTCGGGACCGATGCCGCATCCCTCCCCCAGATGTCCTGTGCCGCCTGGAAGGGCAGAGGTTGAAGTACGCGCTCAGGTAGTGCGCCGGGGGGGGGGGGGCGTCGGAGGGGGAACGGCGCGGGGGTGACGCAGGGCACCTTGCGGGAGCAGAGATCCTCATCCTCGCCAGGAGGACGTCGATAGTGTCCCAGAGGGGCTCAATCTTCAGAGGAAGTGCCACGGCAACTCCGCCGCCTGCATTGTGGGCATCGAGCGAGGGCGGATGAGTGACGACGACAACGAGGAGGGGCCCTCGAGGATCGATCGAGACCTACATACTCGGACGTTTGGCGGCTCTGCGGCTCCTCCTCCTCCTCCTCCTCCTCCTCCTCCTCCTCCCACGGTGGGGCTACTTTGCGCCACTACGGTCCAGGGACTGCCGACCCACGGTAGTGCTGTGCTGTGCGAGGCACTGGCCACGCCCACCAAGGCACTACCTAGGCAGGTCAGACATCAAATGTTTATGATGGCGGCACATACGCCAACGATACCTCGAAATACACCCCTGTCAGGTCTCGAGTTTCGAGCCCCTCCAGTGACGGGTCGAGTCCGCCGGCCCCCTTGTGGGGCCACCAGGCTGCAGGCCGAGGATTCGCAGTTTCCTGTACCAGTTGCAGCTTCCAGTTTCCATTGTTACAGTTCTGTTTCTTGCTGCTTACTGTTCCTTGTTGACTTCTTGCTGCTTGCTGTTCCTTCTTGATGGACCGCGCGAGGGGGGGAGGCCCCAAACGAGCATTTTACCACGGCCAAAACGTATTGTCTGAATTGCTGGGGTTGGTGAAAAATTGTACCCCTCACGCAGATCGGCGGGGTCAGGGTCCAAAAACTCATGGGATTTGCCACATTTCTGACATTCGGTGGCACCCCTTACGCAGATCGGCGGGGACAGGGTCCAAAAACACAAAGGATTTGCCACATTTCTGCAATTCAATAGCACCCATGACGCAGCAAGGGATTTGCCACATTTCTGAAATTCGGTGGCACCCCTCACGCAGATCGGCGGGGTCAGGGTCCAAAAACATAAAGGATTTGCCACATTTCTGAAATTCGGTGGCACCCGTGACGCAGACCGGCGGGGCCAGGGTCCAAAAACACAAGGGATTTGCCACAATTCTGAAATTCGGTGGCACCCCTCACGCAGATCGGCGGGGTCAGGGTCGAAAAACAAACATGTCCTGACACTGCTTCACGACGAAGCCAAAGCCTCATGACTTCGCTCTTCCAGGGCCCATTCTCCGAGAGAGGGGGCCGGCGGCAGGGGGCGAAGCCCTTACGGATTAATTGAAACATTCAAATCACCCAATCCAATCGAACCCAGACCATTCAATACCAAACGTGCTGGCGGGTGCGGCTGGAGAAGTGGATCGTGAGACTGGTTGGCAATGTGAATGCGACCACAGCTGGCGGCGAGCGAGTGGCTAGCGGCTGCAAGCGACCACGCCGAAGCGGCGCAGGTCAGGCCAGCCGACGAGGAACGCGACGCCCAAGCCGGTAGAATTGCCCAGCACAAGTGCGGGGCATCGAGGTGTGAGCCCATGGAGCGTGCTGGTCGTATGATCGCTGCCCACGGCAGTCGGTGATCGCGAGATCGATCATGTGACTGGCTGCAGGAGGAGGGCGGGGAGGAGAAGGAGCAGGGCATGACCGATCTGGTCTGATTGAATGATTCAATGATCAGTGCTGTGCTCCGCTAGTGCGAATGGTCCATGGTCGCAGTTCGCGACGGGGGGGTGCGGGTGGCCCTGTGATCATGGAAACTGGGAACCCGCTTGCGCACTTTTCATTTGTGTTTGCCCTCTCGCCCCTAGCACCTCAGCGTCCCGTACAGAGGCGTGGTTGCCGCAGGCTAGAGGCGATGCCCGCGCCTTAATTATCTACGTTCCTTCGTCTCTACGTCCTTCGACCCTTCCGACCCCACGAAGACCTCAGGCTGGCCTGCCGACCGACCCGCCGGCAGGCCTTTCGCTTCTGCTTGCTGGCACGGCTCAGGAGGCACGTGCTGCGCGCTTCTCCAGCCAGGGGCGCTGGAGGCGCTCCAGGATGTCTGCCACCTCGGCGGGCGCGCACGTGGAGCCACCGCCCGCGAGCGCAAGGAGACGCCTGGCGGTCTGCAGCTCCGCTGCCTCCCCGCCCTCCACCGCTGCAGCGGCGGCCCCCTGCTCTGGGGCCCGGGCTTCGCGCGCGCCGCTGCTGTATGTAGGGGAACAAAAAGTGACATGAACATAACAACTCGGAGGTCCGCGCGGATTTCTCGGATCGGCGCTGGACCCCCCTCCCTGACCGCGGAGCGCGCCAGGGGCGGCGCCGGAGGCGCCGCCGGGGGGCCCCAGCGCCGATCCGAGAAATCCGCGCGGACCTCCGAGTTGTTATGTTTATGTCACTTTTTGTTTCCCTAGTATGGCAGGCTCGAAGAGAGGCGCTTCTCCACGCGCTCGGCCATCTCCTCCGCGCCGTCCAGCAGAGCGCGGGGCAGCCCCGCCTGGGCGGCCATGCGAAGGCCGTAGCGGTCGCGGGCACGCTCGAGGAGGGCCGGCAGGGAGGTCACCTGGTGCGCGGCGAAATTCTGTGCGCCCTGCGCGTGGTCGTGCGCCTGTGCTCCCGCGCCCGCGTCTGTGTGGAGGCCCTGGCCAGCGCCAGCGGTTGACCGCAAGTGGATGTTGCGGAAGCCTGGGAAGACCGCCTGAAGACGGCAGATCTCGAAGAAGTGCGTCGCGAAGAGCGTGTACACCTTGAGCTCGATGAGGCGCTCGCACACCGCCCAACAAATGGCGACGCCGTCGGCGTGCGCGGTGCCACGGCCGAGCTCGTCGATGAGAACCAGGCTCTCTGGGGCCGCGTCGCGGATGATGTGGGTTGCCTCCTGCATCTCCAGCAGGAAGGTGGAGGCCGAGGCCTCGATGCTGTCGCTGCTGCCAATGCGCGTGAAGAGGGATGAGACCACCCGGACCGTGGCGTAGCGCGCGGGGATGAAGCAGCCGATCTGTGCCAGCACGACCAGCTGAGCCACGGTCTGCAGATACGTGGACTTCCCCCCAGCGTTCGGCCCGGTGACGGCCTGGAAGTGGCAAGCCTCCCCGATAAAGAAGTCGAGGGGCTCGAACGACCGAGAGTCCTGCGAGAGGATCCGCTCCATCAGCGGGTGCCTGCCGCCCTTGACGGCAATGGGAGCGGACGGCTCCTCCGTCAGCTCGGGCCGCACGCACCCGCCGCAGAGCAGCGCGTAGCCCACGAACGCCTGGATGAGGTCGAGGGTGCTGGCCGCGTGCGACACTCGGTACAGCAGCGGTGCCTCCACGCGCAGCACCTCGTAGAGACCGTTCAGTACCGCGACTGTCTGCATCAAGATCTCCCGCTCGGCCTGTCGCAATTTGAAGTTCTCCGAGCTCAGCTCCCGGGTGGTGCTGGTCTGCTTCGCGGAGGTGCCCTTCTGGGCCGTTCGGAAGAAGTCCGCCGGCAACTCGTGCACGGCGGTGTGGGAGAAGTACCAGCCGCGACGGTCGGTGAACTCCAGCCTGATGTTCATCTCGGGGTATTTGGCCGCGTAGCTGCGGTGCATCGAGTGGATCTGCTCCAGTGCGTCGTTCCACGTCTGCCTTGCGATGTCCAAGAGAGCGCTCACGCTCGGGCGCACGGCGTACATCAGCGCCGCGTGCGCCATGGAGCCCTGGCCCTGGAGCAGTGGCGGCCCCTCCCCGTCGAGCACGGTGTCGAGCTCCTGCAGCAGGCCGGGAAACCGCGAGTGCAGCAGGGCTGCGCGGGCATCGCCCAGCAGACTGGGCGCCTCGCGCCCGTCGGCCGCCTTCAACGCCTCCGCGAGCAGCGGCAGCGCAGCCAGCGCGTGGCGCAGCCGCACGGCGGTGCGAATGGCAGCCTTACACCACTGCTGGCCACGCGTCTTGGGCTCGACGGTGAGCCGTGCCGCGAGGAGGTCCAGATCACCCACAGCGGGCAGCAGCCGCTGCAGCTCGAAGAAGAGCGCCTCGTCGGCAAGCAGCGCCTGAACGGCGTCCTGCCGCGCCTCGATCTCTGCACGCACGGCCGGCGGCTGCAGCAATGACTGGCGCAGAAGCCTTGCGCCGCCCGGCGTGCGGCAGGCGAACATGCTGAACATGGAATTGCGCTCCTTGTGCCCTCGCGCGTCCACCACGAGCTCCAAGAGCCGTGCAGTGTTTGCATCGATGGCCATCACGTCTGCAGCACCGCGGTACACGACGCTCACCGCCTTGGCCTGCAGGTGAAGCTCCATGGCGGACTCGGCGAAGCGCCACAGCGCCGCGAGCGCGGCGCACGCCACGAACTTGGCAGGGAGCTCGCACGGCTGGAGGCCCGACACGTCCGCCTCCTCGAGCAGTCCGTGCCCTTCGGTCTCGTCGAAGAATCTCCGGTCCACGAGCGTGGGCTCGGGGTAGCCTGCCTGCGCCAGGGCCTCGTCGAGCACCCTGAACAGCTGCGTGCCCCTCGACGTGCGGCTCGCCACCACCGCCAGCGGCTCCAAGGCCAGCACCGCGGCGGTGGTGCGGCTGTAGCTGCCGTTGTCGCAGAACTGAGCGATCTCAAACTCCATGGACCTCCGGTGCATGAACGCGAGGCCCACCTCTGGAAGACCAACCGAGTGCACTACGAACAGGAACTTCCGGAGGCCCGCGCGGACTTCTTGGGTCAGCGCCAGAGAGGCGCCGCCGCGGGCGAGGCGCGGAGTGCTGCAGCGCCGGCCCGAGAAGCCCGCGCAGGCCTCCAAAAGAGGCTCGTGCCCACCTCTGCCAGCTTTTGCCGGTCTTCCTGGCCTCGCGGGCGCGGCTCTCGATCACCGCGCACACGGCTCCCCGCGGCGGCGGCGCTGCCTCGGCGGGGTCGGCGCCGCCCTCGTGCGCCGAGCCCGCGGGCGCGGCCGCGGGCGCCGAGGCCCCGGCGCCAGACGCCCTGCCGCCGCGTGCGCCGGCGGGCGTCCCGGGGGGCCGCCCGCCGTGCCACGGCCTCGCCGATGAGCTGCCCGCGCCGAGGGCGCTGGCGCTGCCGGCCCAGCCCCCGCTGGCCGCAGGGCCTGGCAGCGGCCCGCCGCTGGAGCTCCAGTGGTGGGGCCGCTTCGCGCCGCGCGGCGGAGCCATGCCGGCGCCGCCCTCGTCGGCCAAAGGCTCGCGGAGGCTTGAGCGAGAGGCTGCACCACGCGCCCTGGGGGAGAGAGAGGTCCATCTGTCCAATTCTCATTGCCTCCTCCCCTCCCGCTCCGCCAGCCTCCTGTTCTTCCAGCCGCTGTTCTTCCTGCTGCTGCTGCTGCTCCTCCTTCTGGTCATCCACAATGTTGCACCTGCGTCTGCTCACCCCCCGCACCCTGCCTTCCTCCCTCCCTCTCCCACCTAACCTTATCACCCCCTCCCCTTGGACCCCACTCGATCCCTACCAGGATCCCACCAGGCCCTACCAGGATTCGACCCCTGCCCAGACCCTCCAACGTCTTGATCTTTCCAGTGCGTGGGGCCCTAGAACAATCGATCCATCTTTCGTGTGGATTTCGCGCCGTAGGTTTCCTGTTACGGCCCCTGGGGCCCCCCAAAGCGGCCTGAGGACCCCCCCAGATCGGAACATCTGGCCCTTCGTGTTCTTTTCGAAGCGGACCCGTGCCCACGAGCTCGGACACTCTTGCAGACTCCTCGCAGAATCATGGAACCCTCGCCCCCAGCCGCTTGCCAGGACCGAGGGCGGCGCTGGACGTGCCCTGCGCCCCGAGCCACCCCCGTTCCCGTGGGGCGGAGCCCACCGCGCAGCTCGGAGCCCAGGAGGCTGGGCTGAGCTGGCAGACGCTCCGGTCAGGGCATCTGGGTCGGATGAAAGGGGGGATAGGGCAAGGGGGGGGGTGTCCAAGAGGGGGGGTGCAAATCATGACCGGCGGCACGTGCGCGGCCCAGTGGGGGGGCCAGGAACGTAATGAAATAGGAAGAGGCGCCATGAAATCTGGGGAAATATCATGGCACCCGCCATGATATCCCCCCACCCCTAGTCATCACCCCCCTCTTTGCCGCCCCCGAGAAAGCGGGGATAGGGCAAGGGGGGGGGGACACGAAGTCTGCTGCACGCAGGCGGTCTCGTCTCCGCCCTGGGCGCGGCCGCCGAAAGACCCGAGGGGGCTCGACCTGCTCTTGTCGGCCTCTCGGGGTCGGGGGGGGTGGGGGTGCACGGTCTCCCCCGGGACCGCAGGCGACCCGAGGAGGAGGAGGAATGAGGAGGAGGAGGAGGAGGACAAGGAGGAGAAGGAGGAGGGGGAGGAGGAGGAGGAGGAGGAGGAGGAGGAGGAGGAGGAGGAGAGGAGGAGGAGCGAGAGGAGGAGGAGGAGGAGGCGGAGAAGGAGGAGGAGGATGATGATGATGATGGAGGAGGAGGAGGAGGAAGGAGGAGGAGGAGGGAGGAGGAGGAGGAGGAGGAGGAGGAGGCGGAGAAGGAGGAGGAGGAGGAGGCGGAGAAGGAGGAGGAGGAGGAGGAGGAGGAGGAGGAGGAGGAGGCGGACGTGTCGCCTAAGCCCTTCGGAGAAACCATCCAGGTGGGGGGGGGCCCGCCCTGCGGCGCGGCGGCGTGAGCGCGGTCCGGGCGACGGCGGCCGCGGCAGCGGCGGCCGCGCGCCGCGGGCCTCGAAGAGGCGCGGGGTGAGGCCCAGCCCGACGAGCGGAGGCTGTGCTGCGGTCGCTGGGCCACCCTGCGTCGGCCGTGGGGCAAGGAACAAGCGCTTGCCATCTCGCGGACGCCCGTTCCCCGCGCCCTTTGTCGGTTTGGTGCGTGTGTCTTTGCGCGAGATGATCCGAGATGCTCGACGGCCCTCGCCGAAGGAAGAGGCACACGTCCGGGCGACGCCCACGGGTCCTGAGGGAAGCGGGTCCTAGGCCCCAGCCAGGGCTTTCCCATGCTCCTTCCCAGGACTAACTGTTCATCCCGAGTCGTTGCCTGACTGTCCTGGGGCCCGTGGAGGGCCCGTGGAGCACGAGCACCGTGGAAAACCTCAGGACCTGTTTCCCTCCGGACCCGTTGCCCTTCTGCTACGCTGCTCCTCTGCTACGGCGAGGCATCGGCCGGTCTTCAGATGACGGTTGCGTCAGCCCGAACCGCAATCGCGCGCGTGCCTATCGCGCTCCAGCCAAGGCCGTGGTCTCCCGGGTTTGGGGCAGGCCAGGACGATCCACGTAAAGATGACAGCGCACATAGGCAAAAACGTCCGGAGGGCCGCGCGGATCTGCTGGGTCGGCGCCGGATCTCCCTCCCCCCGCGCTCCTGGTGGCGCGCCTGGCGCGCCGGGGACGGGGGCGCGCCATGGAATGGATGTGGAGGGAACGAGAGAGAGAGACCCAGACACTCCTGGCGGCCCTCCTCCTCCTCCTCCTCCTCCTCCTCCTCGCTCCTCCCCCTCCTCTGGCGTGCACACTCCTGGCGGCCCTCCTCCTCCTCCTCCTCCTCCTCCTCCTCCTCCTCCTCCTCCTCCTCCTCCCCCTCCTCTGGCGTGCTGGGGAAGGGGTGTGCGCGCCAGGGAACGGGTGTGGGGAGGGATGTCCAGTAGCGCCGAGCCAAGACATCCGTGCGGGCCTCCGACCGTGCATGCCCGCCCAGATTTAAGTCGGGCCTGTCCCCCTACAGGGGGATTTTCGGCGAAAAATAAAGAATACCCCAACAATAATCAAAAAAATACAAAAACATAATCTGGGGACCATTTTTGGATGTTTTTTTTGATCTTTCTGGGGCATTTTTGGGGTATCTTTCATTTTTCGTCGACAATCCCCCTGTAGGGGGACAGGCCCGACTTAAGCCCAGATGCCGACCCGAATTCAAGATCGATCGAGTCTCGCGTGCATGATCGGACCGACCGAGCAGAGCCCCATCCGCGGCGGTGCGAGACTGGGATTTGTCCATGCCCCTCGCCTGGGGGATCGATCCTCGGGGGCGTTGGCGGGCGGCTGTTCATAGCCGCCGCCTGCCGACGTCTGCGCATGCTTTTTGGTTGCTCCTGGCAGCGTTGGGAGTGCCTCGAAATATACACCATGCCGTCTGGTCGGCCACGGAGCTTCGTGCCTAGACGCCCCGCCTCCCCAACCAGTGGGGCTCTGGAGCGTCTATGCACCGGCAGTCCCTTCGCCGACCTCCTTTTGGGGATGGACAGACCTCCCTTTAGTAAAACGTGGTTTAGTGAAAACGACCTGAGGCCCAAACCTGGCGGGCGCAAGCCTGGAAAATAACGGCCGCGGCGCCCTCTCGAGAACCGAAAACGGACAATTCACTAATCGACGTGTCAGGGTAGGAGGTCTGTCCACCCCCGATCCTTGGGCCCTCGGCAGACGAAACGACGTGGTGCACACCTCGGACATCGAGCTCCCCAGAGGGGTGGTCGGGAGCGGCCAAGAGGGGGGTGTCCAAGAGGGGGGGTGCAAATCATGACCGGCGGCATGCGTGCGGCCCAGCGGGGGGGCCAGGGACGTAATGAAATGAGAAGAGGCGCCCTGAAATCTGAGGAACTATCATGGCACCCGCCATGATATCCCCCCCCCCTAGTCATCACCCCCCCCTTTGCCGCCCCCGAGGTGGCCGAGCGACCGCAGGGGGCTGCGCCATCCGGAGCGGCGCGCCGCCCGCCGCCCGCCGCGCCCGCCGCCCCGCGCCCTAGCTGGAACTGCCGCCCCCCCCCCCGCGGCCACTGGGCCCTCCGCGGCGGGGCACCGCTGCGGGCGGCGGGGCCACCTCCTCCTCCTCCTCTCCTCCTCCTTCTCTCCTCCTCCTCCTCCCTCCTCCCCTCCCCCTCCCCCTCCCCCTCCCTTCCTCCTCCCTCCTCCGCCTCCTCCTCCTCTCCTCCTCCTCCTCCTCCTCCTCCTCCTCCTCCTCCTCCTTCCTTCTCCTCCTCCTCCTCGCCCCCTTCCCCGCCGCGGGCCACAGCCGTCGCCAGCGCTGCCGCGGCCGCGGCCGCCTTGGAGAGTCGGGCCGAAGGCGACAGGCGATCTCCTCACCGGCTCGAGGTGTCGAAAGAAAGAGCCCGTGCAGTCCTCGGGCCTCGGGCGGCCGAGCCGAGCTCCGGGGCCCCGCCGGAGGGGGCACGGTGGCGCGAGAGAGAGAGTCTCGCGGGCTACGGCAGGCCGAGCCCTGCGGGCTCACCGGGTGGTCGCGAGCGTGGTCGCGCCTCGCCCAGGCCTCTGGGCGCCCCCGGGGCCATCACTCGGACGTTCATTTCCTGTTTTCTTTTTTGGTTTCGTGCGTGGTTTTTTCGCCAAACGCTCAAGGATGCTCCTCGATGGTCCTCGCCGAAGGAAACATGCACACGTCCGAGCGATGCCGAGCCCCTGGGGCCGTCAGAGGACGCGTCGGGACGGCAGGCAGGTCCTGGGGGGAAGTGGGGGAGCGAACAATGACAGAAACACATAACAACTCGGAGGCCCGCGCGGACTTCTTGGGTATACTCGCTGGACCCCCCCCCCTCCCTGGCGCGCGGAGCGCGCCAGGGGCGGCGCCGGAGGCGCCGCCAGGGGGCCCCAGCGCCGATGCGAGAAATCCGCGCGGGCCTCCGAGTTTTTATGTTCATGTCATTGTCCGTTTCCCTAGACAGGGTCGAGAGGTCCGGGGGCCCACGCTGCGCAGCGGTCGAGTCGTCAGAGGTCCGGGCCTGGCCGTGCGGAGGCGGGCGGCGGTGAGTGGCTGCTGCCTGCTCACTGCTACTGCTGCTGCTGCTCCTCAACTTTGCTCCTCGTCGTCGTCGCTCCCCCTCCCCCTCCCCTCCTCTCCCCTGTGCTTCCGACTTCCTCATCTCCGTCCCCGTGCTCAGCTCCTGCTGCGCCCTGCTCTTGCCGTTGCTGCCCATCCCCCGCTTCGCATCCCCGCCCACCGGGAGCCTGCCGGACCTCTGACCACATCATCGTCGGGTGAGGCGAACGGCTCGGCCACCACACATTCCACTCGCACTGACTTCCCGGAGCAGCCCCGTGTGGGCCTACGGGCCCCACGCTCCGCGGGGCGGGTGTCCTCAAGAGTCCCAAATGCGGTCCCGCCAGCGCACGGCGCGCCTGCAGTCCTCGAGGCCTGCTGGCTGTCGTCCAGGCCAGGCCACAAAGGTCGCCGCTCTTCGCGCCCCGCGATGCGCGGTCATTCTCTGCGCCTCCCTGGGTCGCTTGGCGATCGTCCTTGCAGAGTAACCCGGGCTGCGCCAGCCTAGTGCGGAAAACACCAGGACGCTGGCGGAATGCAGACGAATCCTTCCTTTCTGCTCTGGCGCGCTCGCCGGCACCACATCAGTCCGTGCGCAATCTCTGCGGAGCACCCCCGCAACGAGGCGCAGACGGGAAAATCAAGACTACGAGAAGGCGGAGAAGGGAGGACGAGTTGGATGCGGAGAGCGAGAAGGCCGCGTCGGAGAACAGGTTCTCCAGCTGGCTTTCAGTTCACAACTGTGGCCTCGTGTGCGGGCGGACTTTCGGAACGATCGTGGCATCCACGGGAGGAGGCGCGGCTGATGGAAGCCCTGGGCGCCGAAAACCTCCGAACATCTCCGAACAGCGTTGACAAACCTCCGAAAATCCCCTAAATCCCCTCGGGGGGGTGGGGGGCCGGAGGGGACGAGGCGAAACGTCAAGAGGGCACCCACTCAGGCAAGGACAGCTCGACCTGGAGTCGGCGATACATCGCCGATAGTGAAGGGGCCCTGGGACACACAAATAAATACACACAAATAAAAGATCGCCAATATTTTCCTATAGTTTCTTGGTTTTTGTCTTCTCCACCACTTCCCATCTTTTCCCATATTCTCTGGGGGATCGACGATTAATTGTGTCTGTTTTTTTTTCTCCCCTCCCGAGACAGATCGGCGACAGGCCCCTGACAGGGAAACCGCACGCTCCTGGGCGGGGTGGGCCATCGGACCCCCACCGGCGATCAATGGATTATTGGGCGTCGGTGTGGCCACTAGCGTTGCCCCCCGGTCTTGTCGGCTCATATATGCTCGGCGCTCCGGCGTCCGGAGGGCACCCCGAGGCTGGAAGCCCGCCAGGAACCAACGGTGCTATTAGAACCCTCGACGCAATGTAGACCAGCGCCATCCTCGAACCGAGGCTGCCATCAGCTCTCGAGACGCTGCCAAGCAGCCATCGAAAGTCTTCCACCTTCTTCTCCTCCTTCTCCTCCTCCTATTCATCCTTCTCTTCCTACTCCTACTCCTGCTATTCCTACTCCGTCTCCACCTCCTCCCCATCATCATCATCATCATCATCATCATCATCATCATCATCATCATCATCATCATCATCACCACCATCACCATCACCATCACCATCACCATCATCATCATCATCATCAACAACATCAACATCATCATCATCGTCATCGTCATCGTCATCGTCATCGTCATCGTCATCATCAGCATCAGCATCAGCATCAGCATCATCAGCATCACCATCATCATCACCATCCCCGTTATCATCATAACCATCATCATCAGCACCATCCCCGTCAGCATCTGCATCATCATCAGCATCAGCATCGTCATCATCATCAGCATCACTGTCCTCATCAGCATCAGCATCATCATCAGCAGCATCATCGGCATCATCGTCAGCATCATCATTATCATCATCATCATCATCGTCGTCGCCGTCTTCATCATTATCATTATCATTATCTTTATCATTATCAGTATCATTATCATTATCATTATCATTATCATCATCATCATCACCACCACCATCATCATCATCACCCTCATTACCCTCCTCCTCCTCATCATCATGATTACCATATTTATCGCCATCAGCATCATGAAAAGGCCCACTGGAACCCCCAAAAGGCCCCACAGAAGCCCCACAAAAGCCCCCGAGAGGCCCCAAGAGACCCCCCAAAAGTCCCCAGAGGCCCCCCTGACGCCCCAGGAGGTCCCAGAAATACCGCCAAGAGGCCTCCGAGAGGCCTTCTATCGTCTCACCAACGCTTCCTTATTCCTTCCCTCTCCTCGTTCTCCCCCTCTGCGTCACCGAACCTCAATCCACGAACGAAAAGCGCTACGATAAGTCATCGAGCCAGCAATCGAGAGGCCTCCTCCTCATCGTCATCATCTCCTCTTCCTCCTCCTCCTCCTCATTATCCTCTTCCTCCTCCTCCTCCTCCTCCTCCTTCTCACTCGCCACGAGCACGCCAACACATGGAACCATCGCCACAATGTAGACCAGCGCCATCCTCGAACCGAGGCTGCCATCAGAAGCTCTCGAGATGCTGCCAAGCAGCCATCGAAAGTCTTGCACATTCTGCTCCTCCTCCTCCTCCTCTTCCTCCTTCTCTTCCTACTCCTACTCCTACTCTTCCTACTCCGTCTCCACCTCCTCACCATCATCATAATCATCATCATCAGCATCATCATCACCATCCTCATCATCCCCGTTAACAGCATCATCAGCATCATCGTCATCATCATCATCAGCATCGTCATCATCATCAGCATCATCATCACTGTCATCATCAGCATCATCATCATCATCAGCATCTTCATCATCATAACCTCATTACCCTCATTACCCTCATTACCCTCGTTACCCTCATTACCCTCATCATCATCATCATCATCATCATCATCATCATCGTCAACAACATCAGCATCGGCATCATAAGCATCGTCATCATCGTCATCGTCATCATCATCATCATCATCATCATCATCATCATCATCATCATCATCATCATCATCATCATGAGTATCATTTTTATCATCATCATCATCATCATCATCATCACTATCACCATCACCATCACCATCACCATCACCATCATCATCATCATCATCATCATCGTCATCAAGACGCCCACTAGAAACCCCAAGAGGCCCCCAAGAGGCTCCCACGAGACACCCAGGATATCACAAACATACCGCCACGAGGCCCTGGAGAAGCCTCCCAAAGACCGCAAGCGACTCCCAAAGAGGCGCCTTGTCCATAACCTGTTTCGCCCCAAATTGACACAACAAGCCCTCCAGAAACATCCTCCTCGTCCTTATCCCCCCCTCTTCCGCCTCATTCTCCTCTTCCTCCTCCTCCTCTTTTTTGCCCGCCACGAACACGCAACCATATGGGTCGGTTTTTGGGAGATTCTGAGAGATTTGACAATTTGTTTTGCGAGCCACTGTTTTTGTAACGCGGAGTGGGTTTTGCCGCGTTTGCCTGTCAAATCCTGAGGTCTGTAGCTGCAGTATTACTAGCACCAGTGAGGCAAGATGGGCCGGCGGAATGAGCGAAGCGATGAAATAAACACCCCCTCCCCCAGGCACAAAGACGGCGGGGGTGCCCGCATATTGCCTGCTGCGCGCAGGGCCAGCATCCCGGTCAAAAACTAATGCACAATGCACTTCGAGACAAAATCTGGATCATGCGCGAGTGCGCGGGCACCCCGCGAACACTGTGCACCGGTTTTTGACTGGGACGGCGGGGGCGCTGGCATATTGCCCACCATGCGCAGGCCCACCAGACGCCATGGTGGCCACCCCGCCGCGATTGCGCACTGGCTTTCGACAAGGGCCCCGATGTGCACTGCCAGGGGCGCAAGCGCACCTGGCACACTCTGCGCGTGCCCCGAGCGTGTCGCATCCTGCGCGGCTGGAGCATGCGGCACACGTGGCGTGGATCACGTGGCGCATCTGGCGCACCGTGCGTGCCCAGCACGCTCGTGCCGCAGGGTGGCACCTGGCGCGCGTGGCGCGCCTGGCACGCCTGGCGCACCTCACCTCGCCCCAGCCTTGCGCACATGAGCTCTGCTTTGGTTCCCATTAGCTATCCATCCAGAGACTGCCGCTGCACCTGCTGCGGCTCGGGCGCTACTTATGTGTTGGGAGGGCGGGTGGGAGTGAGCGAGACGACTTGCGAGCGGGGAGGGTGTCTTGACCCCTCCCTCTCCCCCCTCCCTCCCCCTGGACCTGGACAGGGCGCCCCGCGAGGTGTCAGAGCGTCAAGAAAGGCTTTGGCGAGAAGGCCACATACACATTGTTTTTAAACATATTTTGGGAAACGTTGGCCTCCTATGGGGGGGAACCCAATTACGGTCCCTCCTCTCTTGATTAACCACCTCCAAGATGGTCCTAAGTTGGTCCCCGAGGCTCCCGAGAGTGCCCCAAGAGGGCCCCAAGAGGCGCCCAGGAGGCCCCAAGAGGCCCCCAAGATGCCCAAGAAGCTCCCAATAAACCCCCAGGAGGTCCACCCGATGCACCCAAGACGCTTCAAGAGGCCCCCAATGCTGCCAAGAGGCCCCCAAGACGCCCCAACAGGCCCACAAGAAGCTCTCTCGAGAGAATGTTCGCCCTCCTCCTCCTCCTCTTCTTCATCCGCCTGATTTCCTCCTCTATTCTTCCCCTCTTGGGGTATGACGGCTTCCCAGCCTTTATTCCACTTTGTGCTCCCCCACATGCCTGATCAGGGACACTCGCCTGGGCATCGTTTCTGGATGGGCTGGTGGGGTTACTTTTTTTGGTCGCGGCCACGAGACAAGGGTCAGGCGGCGAAGGCAACGTCCGGGCCACGGGCGAGGCTAATTGGCTAGGACAGGCGCGCCGGCCAGCCCCCTCAGCTGGTGGGGTTACGCGAAGCGTCTATAATCTGTTATAGTATGACGGCTGGGGTCAGAAACTGACAGAATTAAGCACGATACTTCTGCCTCTTGGACAGCCCAGCTTCGCTGTGAGCCTCAGGTCGAGCCCCCTCGAGCAGTCGGACGTGGGGGGGGAGGAGGACGCGTTTGGACGCCCGACATGGGCACGGAAAGAATGGGTACAATGCCCAACAACAAATGTTGTCCCAAACCAACAGCGGCCGCTGTTGGGCAGGCGGCCTTCTGTCT